TTTTTTTTTTGATTTTTGGTGTTCGAGACTCCATGAAGTACTTTTCTTGTCCAAAACGGTTGAGCTCTCACGTGAGAAGGGGCTGAAAGAAAGGCCAACCCTGGGTGACAATCTTTCAAGCAAATTCAAGAACTCCGTTGTAGGAATCAAAAGCCCGCCTCGCTGATCTTGAGGCCACCGAGAAGAGGTTGTTTGCGCAGCTCCAAGCTGCTGACCGAGTCCCTACAGCTACCGACAAGTTCGCTGATGGTTAGTCTTAATTCTGCTTCAGTTGCACCACCCGTGTACTCAGTTTTCCGAACATTGTAATGAGGTGCTTTCAGAGAGGAAGGCTCGTTTCATGAAGGTTACTTGGGAGATTAATGAAATAATTGGTACCCAGTGTCCGTTGTGTGGATTAACTGCTATCGAGTAAGTTATCTAAGGAGTATTCATGTGCAGGCTATATGAATTATCCGCTTGTTCAAGAGCTGTGCTATGAGTTTTGTAACGGTTTTGTGATAATACTTCAAGATACTTTAGATTAATCGATAAGCCCTTCTTCACGGACGAACAGTTCGAAGCGGATCGCGAGTCCTGGGAGATTGAATAAGAGATTCAGCATTTAGTGAATGGATAACTACATATTAATAAGATCTAGTTGATGAAATATTGATTACGGAATTTCTTGTGATATGTAAATATCATAGACTGTAATAATAATATGTTGATAAATTTGATATTTTCGCGCTACCATTTGCTAAAAAAGAGGATAAGTCCTCTTTGATTGATTATTTTCTTGCGTACAGCTGAAGTGATATGACTGTACTCTTCCGAACAGCTCTCAGTTGTCATGACGGTTCCAGAAAGAGACTGACTTATGAACGAAAAGGTCTTGTTTGATTACGGCGACTTCCTGTTTCTCACTTTCAGCATACGTTTGGTTTATGTCCTCGGTGCTCATAAGGTCCTTCTAGCTTATCGTGATTCTTCACCTCTCTAAAAGATGTTGACAGGAATCGCATTGCATTCAGCTAGATTTGTTGTGCTATTTAACGAATAGTTTTGAAGAGATGGTAGTGCAAGGGGTAAAGCGTGGTGTCGGGAAGCGCGAAGATTCCGGAGAAGGTTCGTTCGAGGCCAAAATTTTGTCCATAGTTCGCTCAACTTGTGGGACTTCAGGAAGACAATCCACGCGACCGCCTTACCACCCTTTCACTCTTAAGGTTACATCTAGCTGTAGAGTGTTCACCATTCATCACCGCTTGGAGGTGTCCATCACCGCAACCTTGTCCATAGAAACGCTAAGCAAACTTGAGAAGCGTATCCGATGTAATCTCGTTCAATAACACAGTCTTCATGGATGTCCTATGAAAGAAGAATCTGTCCATCTAAGATTCTACCGAGATCCAAACTAATATTCCATTCTAATTTAATATTTTTAGAAAATTCTGTTCGAACAGAAACATAAGAAACAATGCCTCGATAGACACAAATTTAATGCAGATATTGCATGGATAGAATAGGAGCTAACCAAAAACATTGGAAAGGTGTATGGCCAGGAGCGCAGTATCTAGGTGGGTTACGATCAGTCGATCAGCATTCTCCCTGATTTGTACATAGATTGAGGATATTTATTTCAGCAGAATTCTTGTGTAGTAATTCTGAAGTTTTCCGTAACAGTGTTTGTCTTGAACTTGGCGCAGGCACAGGCATCCTTGGTCTGACTGCAGCAAAACTTGGTGCACGATGCGTCATTCTAACTGATCATCCCAGTGAAGAGGTATTTTCTTTACTTACCGTGAGATCGTTTTCTCCTTTTTCAAACACTATTCCTTTTCGTTGGGTAGCTCAGCTAGCAAGGCCGTACCGTGGACAACAGCGAAGAAGTGGATGCGCAAGTTATAGATGGTAGACATCATGCTGCCAGACCAGCTTCAGGGTCACAACGGTGTTCAACCTTACGACCGAGTTGTTCGCGGCTAGGTCCTTTCGCCGACGTTAGTGCCAGCTACATGACTACTCTTACCGCCAACGAGGACCTTTTCTGAGAATAGTTACCATCCGGNNCATTTGTGTTGACTCGACAAACATACACGCCCTTGCTTGATTTTAGAATCAGAATAACCGGAGCCGTGTATTCGACTGGAATTCTATGAGGAAAATAGGAGAAATGAATCTGGAAAGAATGCTTGGTGTAAAGGGCAACTTTGAATGTTGCAGAGAGCTTGGAACGAGTAAAATGAAATCTTTAGCTTGAGGAGGGACAAAAGGTCCAGTCATTTCGAACAAGTTCTGATTCGGTACAGTATGTGAGTGATCCATTAGTTGGCGGGCTGGATCAATTATTCTTTCGTGACTTCTAGACAATAGATATGTATTGAATACAGGACATGCGATTTTTCGAATACATTCATTGTTATTGAACGTTATTACTGAGTAATTACTATTTTAGATTGGAAATGTTATAGATTTTGACTTTGCTGGATGAAAACGTGAGGAAGAATGAGTTATCGAACAGTTGTCTAGTAAAAGTGAGTGATGGTCATGTTCTTCTTCAATTTAAATCCCTGCAGTTTCATTTGCTACCCATATTGCTGGCCCTGTTTTTCTGAAAATTCGTGTGACGGCGTAAAACTGAAACGGAGTTCAGCACGGACTACCAGTTCTTAACGTTTTAGGATCCCGACTGGCTGCTTTCATAGTCCACGCTTTGGCCCGCGCGATCGGTCGCGGGCCAAATCGTGGACTATGAAAGCAGCCACTCGAATGAGCATACGTGGTGCGGAGCGGGGGGAGGCCTCAGCTAAGTGCTGTAGTTGTACGAGTCTTTGTTCGAGGACCCTTTTCGCTGTCTCATATGTGACCGGCTGTGAATTTGTATATTCAAATAGGGTTACGCCGTAAAAGAAGAGGATATACTGTCTGTGAGACTCTACGCCCACAGCAGTTTATTTCATTGTAGGATCGAGGGTTTCTGTACTGAATTTTCATTCCTGTGTCATTGGAAACTAAGCTACGGATTTTGTAAGAATGTTTCAAGAAAGTTAGAGCTGGATATGACCTGTTTGTTTTAGGGTCTCGATTGGCAAGATCGTGAGAATGTAGCATCTACCGTAGATGCTCTCGAAGAACTCGACTATTTAATCGCAGCAGATGTATTTTATGATGTCTGTACATTCCGTCCATTATTGTCAACGATTTGCCAATTCTTCGACCATTTCCCCAAACTTCGTTTCTACTTCAGTTATGCCGTACGAGAGTTCGTCAATTCATTCCTTGTCCTTGAACATTTTATTCAGATTTGAACAGGAGGCAGTTGATCGGTCGGTATCAGTGACCTCGCTGCATTTCAGCTTTCATGACAGCCCCACTACAGCTATTTTTAGATAAAACGATCGAAAATTCATTTGATCAGTTGTTGGTCAATGTGTACTACTTCGTAAAAGTACAGAGGTAAAACCACGTACAGACAATGAATAAGGAAGAATACCTCCCTCAAAGTTTAATCTACTTAACGTTCATGGGGAAAGTTCAAATAGGAATTGATAAACGGGAACAGTTCGAGTTGCAGAAGAGACATTATGACTCCTGCTGACAATAGCAACTCTATGGCATTACCAGGGTTTTTTCATCTTCGTTGTATGCCTATTTATCAGTATCCCCATCGAGTTGGGAAAATCGGGTAACCATGTTTACACCGCTTTCGCGCCACGTCACGATAACGGCGAGGCCGTTTCCGATAAATACGCCGTTTTTCTCCTTTTTTTTCTTGCAGCACCTCCTAAACAGTTTTGATATATTGGATAGATCTTTTGCTGGGTTCTACTCAGTCTATCAATAGATTCACAACTTTAGCATAGTGTAATGTATGAAAAATTTTGTCCGAAACGACAAAAGTCTCGTAGAATATGGGAAAGAGCAATTATACCGAGCGGTCTCGTAAATCAGCTTCATCCTGTTCCCACTGTTTCTTTTCAGCTAGGGTATAAATGCTCTTGGAGCTCGTGTAGGGAACGAAATTGATCTCCCATGACCTTTACGGACTTGATACGTGCGGTATTACACGCCCAAAGTGCATCAATGAATTTAGCTCTCGCTAGAACAAGGGTCATACATTATTCTTACCGACAATTTATTGCTAATGACAAGGCACATTCTTCTTTCTAATTACACACATTGCAGTGACAATTGGTCAATTGAAGATCTATTGCTGTTGAACAATCTACAAGGCCGTCTCATTCAGACCAGAGAAGTTGGAGGAAATAGTGTTCAAATTTGTGTAATTTACAGGCAGCAGATGACCGGTGAAGTATTTTGTGGAGTTGAGGGGTGAGTATCTATGGATAAGTCGATAATACCATTTTTATAATGCAAAATTTCCTAACAGCAATCCAATAATTATTAACAGTTAACTCACTACTGAACTTTCATGAACTCTTAGAAAGAATCCGTGCCGCAATTGCTGCAAATTAGAGACAAGGACGAGAGCTTGGCTCTACAGGGATCGAACCGTGGGTCTTGACTTGATGACAGTCTATAGTGTAATGCAGGCCTACTGCCTTTTTCTCGTGTATGCTCTGAGTCAGCACCTAAAGGTCGCTCTCATTCCGCTGTCCAGCTTCTTCCTGCTGTGAATTGACCTCATTAATGGACCAATTACGCTATGATGTCACCTTGAAGGGGTTCAGCAATGCGGAGTTTGCTTCAATGCCCCATTTCCATGGTGTTTCAGAGGTGCTACAGCGTCGAATTTGGTGTTCGTAAATGAAGAAGGTCACGTGTTAGGGAAAGCATCAACATCCGGAACGAACTACAATTTAGATGGTATTGAACGAACAGCATCAAATATTGCAGTATGGGTGCGAGAAGCTGCAAAGGAACATGGGATTGCATTGCCTTTGAAAGGGCTGGTATGTGAATTTTAAGAGTTATTCCTATTACCTCACCAACCCTGCACTCTTGCCTAGCGACCTTGGGGAGAGGGAAGTATGTGAATATATGACGAGCTAACAACAAAATTGTTTGGCAAATAAGAGCTACCCAAATAGTTTGCTTGTTTGGATATCGAAAGAATCGTTGTCCTCTTTGAAGTCGGTAGGCTTAAGGCTCGCCATTGTTTTGGTAATGTTCCACCACACATTATGACTCTTCGATCGACTACTGCTTACATAACAACTTGTCTTTATCGGAGTTTTAGAAAGTAAATTTCCTTCGGGATTGTTGTGGTCAAGATATTTTTCTGTTTCTATAGTTTACACTTGAAGGGACTCGGACTATCTGGAGCCGAAGGCGCCCGCGACAATGCTCTTTTCATTGAATACCTCAAAACGCATCATGGTGATATAGCAGACCATCTATATCTAGCATCAGATTCAATAGCTACAGTTGCTGCAGCATTTGAGCAAGGTGAGTTCCACATCAGTATATGTTGGGCCTACATTTGTGAGGTTTCGTTGCATTTGCTTGTCTAATTGAAAGCTCCTACTCCTTATACTACTCCAAATGGCGGTAAGGATCTCACGATCAGATTATTTTCGAATGCGTGTAATGGGTGCTAACAGATTTCGAGGCAGGCTTCGGAACCAGTACACTGATTTAACTCAATTAGGGTATCTACATTGCGTTTTTTCAAGTATTCTATAGTGGTTCTCCAAACGACCTTGTCCATTATTGATTTATCTATATTCTTGTTTTCAGGCGGTGTTGTTCTCATAGCCGGAACAGGGTCTTCTTGTCGCGTCCTTTTGAGGGATGGTCGCGTTTTTGGCGTGGGAGGCTGGGGACATGTAATAGGAGATGGAGGCAGTGCATTTTGGATCGCCATTAGGTCATTTCTAGTTTTCAATTGCTGCTCAAGTTTGTTTTAACTATTTAATACAAAATTTATTACAGAGCAATACGCATACTTTTCGATGAGGACGATGGCTTGGAGATTCCTCACGAATCCACTGCACTGATACGTGAATTGTTGCTAAAGGTTCTGTACGTCATTGACTTTTTTATCTTCAAGGTTCTGTAAAAGTTTGAATTTTCTTCGGGAAAGAGCATAACAGTCTTGCTTTGCGTTTTTGATGAAAACAGTACACCGTTTACTTAGAATGTGAGCTCGTGGGTAAACCGTAAACTCTGAAAGTAGTAGGTGATCTAAAGAACTATTTTGTGACAAAGCGGTAGTCTCTGTCGTAAAAGTCGTTATAGTGACACTCGATGCAGAGCCAATACTGGCAGGCAGTTCTCCAAAGAAAGCATAACATTTTATACGATGGAAAGTAACTTTTTAGCACAAAAACAAACTCTAATGAAAGAGGGAAAGAAAGGAAGGATGCGTAGTTCAAAGGGCTTGTTTACTGCTACTGTTGCTGTTTGATCACAGTTTTCGTAGCTCAAAGGTATATCATGCTTTTCAGCACTTCGAGATCGAGGACAAAGTAGACATATTGGAGCATCTGTACAACAAATTTCAAAAGTCACACATTGCTTCGTTTACTGGCGAAATGGCTAAACGTACGTTAGCGAACAACATTTTTTGCCCTTCTCATTTTCTTCATTGAATTTCTGTAGATGTTGATGACCCCGCTATAAGCAAGCTGTTTTTTGATGCGGGTGAAATACTGGGAAAGCAATTTGTTGTGGCTTCCGGTCATCTGCCTAGTGTGAGTTACCTTCAAAAGTATCGTTCATTTTGGTCATTTCCGATTATTTAGTTGAAAAACTCATTACTTTAGGAATACAGGAGTGAAGTTAATCTACTCATCGTGGGATCGGTGTTTAAATCCTGGGATGCTCTGAAGAAAGGTCTGGAAGTAGTTTCATTCGTATTTAATTTAGTAGTTTCAAAAGGAATAGGGAATGATGCGGTGACTACATTAGTTCCGTCTCTTATAAAAATGACCTTTTAATAGCTAAGTCTTTTGGTGCCATTTTTGGTTACAGTTTCCCTTAAAACTGACATTTTGACAGGCTCAAAAGTTAATGGAACGGGTTCTTCTCTGAGTTCAGGTTTTGTGCATGCCGTAACGGGATCCTGGATACCGAAGGTCAACATCTACCGGCCAACCACATCTAGCGCTCTAGGTGCAGCCGCACTGGTAGCTCAAGGAGCCGGATTCAATATTGCTCGACCCGACGCCGAGCTCCAAGAGACAATCAACTTTTATTAGTGAATCGCACTTTTCTGGTCGATGTTCACGAACTTCGAAGAGAATCAGCAGCTTCCCGAGAAATTCTTATGAGATGATGAAACTTTTTTATACACTTTATATGGATTGTTAACACTTTTAAAATTTGTAATCTGTTAAGTGTAAGTGCCTGAATGTTTGTTTGTTTTTCTTGTCTGTTCTCTGTTTCTAATCATCTGAAAATTAATTGGATAATCCTTCCGCATTCCATCTGATAATAAATTCCTTTGAGATATTACTGATCGCTTATATTGCTTCAGTAAGCTACTCGTTACCTATTCCGCAAAACCTTTTGTAGGGCTAATTCCCTCATGATACTTATATTCATTTATTTATTTACTAATTTACTTACTTTCCATAACTTATATGTGTGTAACTTAGACTGCAGTCTCCTAGTCTAGAAGACTGTCTTGGGTTTCACCTGAGTGATGAGAGAATCGATCTCAATGGGTTTTTCGACTTTCAGGCTCTGACGAAGGCGAACTTGCCGAAGCTTTAGCCCTATAAAGTTTGAATTCCTGGAAAGGCTGAAATAAGCATACATGCTAGTTAAATTGCAGTGTTTTACACTTGGAATTGCTCTGAAGGATTCAGACAAATATAAAAGTCTTCAATCGGAAGGATTCATATTACCGAAAAATTCGCGTAATCGAAGTGACCATCCGTCTTTACCA